AAATAAATTGATCATAATGCGTATCAAAACACATGAATTCTATATATATACACCAAGTCTTGCCCTGCACATGCAAACGTTTTGAACGACTGAAAACTCGTAAGGCTCAACATTATGTGAAGGAAAACATAAAAAAAAAAAAAGGATGGTAGGTCGAAATTGGCTAAATTAGCAACAATTTGGCATTTGGCTTCTTAATCGGAATAACATTCAATGCTTTTGATCAGTAATTAGCCGGCGACGTCGACCTTTTATTATTATATATGCAGACTTCCCAGCTCATTGGATGTATGATTTTGTTTGGATTTTATTTTCCACATGGAAGAGCACTATAATAATGTTTAAAAGGTGGACGATGACTCGTGTAGTCAATATATACGTATATCTTGACTCTTGAGTGCATAATAATACGAAAATAATTAAAATTTTCCTCAGTTATATCCACCTGATTTTGTTTGGATTTTATTTTCCACATGGAAGAGCACTATAATAATGTTTAAAAGGTGGACGATGACTCGTGTAGTCAATATATATGTATATCTTCACTCTTGTCTTGAGTGCATAATAATACGAAAATAATTAAAATTTTCCTCAGTTATATCCGCCTATTAGTGTATTGTGTTAAAAAAAAAAAAAAGAACAACAAGATGAGGTTCAGTTGCTTGCCCAACGTTTAGGAGTTACTCGTGTTTCCAGTTTTGCCCATGATGACCTTTTAGTAGACCTGACATTCGTGTCGTGTTTCTCGTGTTCGTATCGTTTTTGTGTCATACCCAATAGCTTAACTGGTCGTGTCGTGTAATACCCGTTAAAGTAAACGGGTAATATGACCCGACCCAAAATTAACCCGTTAATATTATTAGATAATATGACCTGACCCGTTACCTGTTAAGAAAAATATATTTTAAATCAATAAAAATGAAAATGAAAAACATAATTTGACCCAAAAAAATGTAAAACATAATACTAAATATATATATACACACACACACTAAATTTTGAAGTTGACCCCTTCATGAAAATTGTAAAGCTTTTCATTACGAGTGATTACATTTTTCACACTTCTACAATAATTATTATTAATTTTGCACTCAAATAAAAGATATTGTTCATGAGATTTGGAGGGTTTTAAAAATTTAAACGACCATGTAACTATCGTCTGAGCGTTGAGGATGCAATTATGAACGTTTATTATGCTTTCACATCTTTCAAACTTATACATTAATGATTCTGAATTTTATTTATTTTGAACTCCCTTAAAAATACTATTCATGAGAGTTTGTATGGTTTTAAAAATTCAAATGATCATATACCCATCCTCAAAGCATAGAGGATGCGACTACGGGCGTATGCATATTTTTTTCATATTTTTCGCACATGTAAATTAATTATTATAATTTTTTTAATGTGTTTGGTATTTTTAAATTACTTGGTATTTTTATTTTTAATGTGTTTTATGATTTAATCTCAATCTTTGCCTATAATATACTATAAAAATAAATAAATAAATAAAACTTAAAATTTAAAATTTATAGCGACTAATAATTATTAAACAATATATACATATTCATTATATCTATTGTATTTTATAGTAAGTTTTTTTTAGTAGTTTAAAAAATTAAAATCATCAAAATAACTTTTTCTTATCGTGTCGAAACAGGTTATCCGTGTGTCACTCTCGTGTAAACCTATTAAGGACCCATTATTAAGGGGTTATTATCGTGTGACCCGATAATGACTCGATTAGTTATCGTGTTGACCCGAAACCTGTTATTTTCGTGTCGTTTATGTGTCGTGTTAAAGGATCATGTAAGAAATTACCAAGTCTACCTTTTAGGGCAGTCCGTGTTTCCAAAGGAGGTATTACCCCTTCAATAAAAATAGGGCACATTTGATGCCACTCATTTGGATAAAAAAGGCGCCTAACCCCATTTATACAATTTATCTCTCTTCAAGAAATTCAAAGCTCTCCCAACATCTCTCTTGTTTAAGGATTTTTATTTTGTGATAGGTAGATGGTGAGAGAACAAATGGAATTAGGTCTCTGTGTTTTCAAAGGGTGGTACTATACACATATCCAATTTTACTTCTTACACACACTTCTCAATTTACGGCCGTTGGATCAATTGACTTTAATAAGATCAATGAACAAAATTAATAAGAGTTTGTGAGATGTAAAAAGAGGTATGTGAATAGCACCACCCATTTTCAAATTACAATCCAAAAAATAAAAACTCCTATTTTTAGATTTTAGAAACAATACTTATTTTAATTTAGAAATGGTTGCATCCTAAATTAAGTGTGATTACATAAATTCTTATGGGATTAGTATCTTTTAGATAGTTTCCGAGTTGTAATGTATTACTTGAAAGACAATGATTCTCCCTTCCTTACTACTATAAATAAAGACACGATGATATGAGAAATCATCACAACAGAATCACCAAATTCTCTCATCTTTCTCTGTCTGCTACTATCCCTCTCCATCTTTATAATCCCTCAGTAAAATACACCTACAACACGTTATCAATACGCTTCCGCTGCTGCACTAAGGAACTGAAGGTTCTCGTATGAGGTTCTTCTCTACAACTAAGCATTCAAAAGCTTTCTTCATTTCCATCCAATACATATTCTCCTAAAACAAGAAATTGATATTTTATAAGCCTTGATGCATAAAAACATTCACCATTATGCATGAACCCCTAATTTATCTATGTTTTATGTATTGCCTTATATTGCATATATTGCTTAATATATATATATATATATATCTTGTTCATGCATACGCAATATTATTATGTTAATTTTTCATACGTAATATTATGTTTTATTATGCTATTGGAATTGCTATGTTGAATTGTGTGAGTACAACAAAATAAGAAAATAGAAGTAAAAACTAGGGACTTAAAAAACTAATTGCGAGTCGTCTCGGCCTAGAGCCATGCCGAGAGAGGAAAAAAAAAATTGCAGTTGAGTCATGCCACCAAGCCACGCCTAAAGGTGGGTAAACGGGTCTAGGACCCGCTGGGAGGAGCGGATACAATTGGTTCAGGGCAGGTCCTAATTTAGTAAAGAAGAAACGGGACGGGGCAGGGCATAGGTATTTACGGTCGGGGCGGGTCCAAAAATTTAGTATCATGGGGCCCTGGACGACCCGTTTATAACATACATTAAACTTTCCACTCCCTCAAACTCCCCATCTTCTTGTTTCTCCCTCCTAGCTTCCACCCCCAGATTCCCCATCTATTTTTCTTCTTCTTTCCAAACACAATCCTTTTGTCAAATTCAATTGGGATTTTCTGTAGGAATTTTATTTGATTGTTGAAGAGAAAATGATTTGTTGTTAGCTCTGCTTGTTAATTTAGATGGTTGGTGTTTCAACAATGTCTTTGTGGGAGCAAATGGGACAACCTCTTTTTGAATTAAAATCAAAATTCACCACGACACCGTATTCGAGAAGCTTGCGCAAGAGGCATCGTGTTTGGTTAGTTGGTCCTGCCCTCTCGACTTGTCTCTCTCTCACTCAGTCTCTCCCTTAGTTTTATTGAAATCTCATGCTCAGATTGTCGAGATGGCGTGAGGCCTTAGATCGGCAAAGATGGTTGCGCAAGGGACCTGAGGGATACCGGAGATTGAAAATAGACGAAGATGGCACAAGAACGACAACGGACCTCGTCAATGACGGTGAGCTCCAGATCGACGAAGATGGCTTGTCAAGAGGATTTGGGTTGGACCTGTGGACTCTGCCTGACTGGCATTTTTGAAACGGGTTGGTTTAGGTCCAATTCTAAATTTAGAAATTCTACTACCTGACTTGGCCCGCCCTCGTTGCATTTTAAAATGGGTCTGGTTTGGTCCCTTCAGATTTGGGTTCGATCAAGCCCGTGCCCACCCTTAACTGCGCCTACTGCACAGAGCGAAAACAACAATATATGGTGTCAAGGCCAGCAACCCAAAATTTTAGGTCAGCTGCATGTTGATGGTCCAGGCCCAATCATTTGGGCTTCTATCTTAGACTGCCAAGCTTTTGCTAGGCTGTCTCTCCTCGGCCCTCCTTGCCCCATTGGGCTGCATGGTCTTGCAGCCTGCAACTGCTGTTGTTGGACTTTTGTTTCTCAGGCCCCACCCCATGTAGGGCTCTTATTCGTGTGGTCTGCAACCTGATGCTATTGGGCTACCATTCGCTTCAGCCCAAGCCCCTGTTCAACTTCTCCTTGCTTCAGCCTGCACCTAGTTTTGCTGGGATGTTCATGGCCACAACCATATTTGGACTTTCTTACTTGTTGGCCCACGGCCATCCAAACTTAATATGAGTTAAATAACACTATCATGCACCATTTACAACAAACAATATAATATTAAGTTAAATTGCAATCCCAAAAAAAATAGAAAAAAGTAAACACCAAGGCCTGCCTAACCAATAAGGTTGCACTCACAAATCCTCACGCATCAGGGGAACGACTTTGTTGTGTAAATCAGAAACACATTGTACGCAGTGAGGCAGTATAAAATGAATCCAACTAATCCAATCTTTTCCATTTTGTCTACTGGCTGTTGTGCGACACAATCCCAGTGTTGAATTTTCCAATTTCATATTTCTCTATCAACACAAAGTCCCAGTGTTATATCTGAAGTTTCTGCAAGGGACTTACAAGTAATTAATTGATTAGGAGAATCTATCCATGAACCCGATGTCTGTGCTCAATTCCCTTCTACCTAATATCATTGTATAGAAACCAAAAAAATCCCCAAGTGATCAACCCCCAATCACATCCAATGTTTTCTCAAATAGGTCTTATGAATATATTGCAGTAAATAATTGATATGAGCATGTGCATGCATTGTGATGAACAATTTAGCCAAAAAAAATACGAATAATTGGATAACAAATCACTTACTGTCTACAACTACATAGAAAACAAATTTGTGTTATTAATTTATTTGATGGATTACTGAGCCCGTCCTAGTCTCCTCTCATCATTCCATGAGATAAGAGAAGTTCATTTTAAATTAAGACATGAGTAGGCCAACGATTTCTCCTCAATGAGCTCTTTTGCAGTTGCATCCAACTTCCCCCTCGAGAACTCGTCAATCTTGAGTCCTGCATTAAAAATAAGCAAGCGTTCAATCAGCGAGTGCATTGAAACAGCCTCATAGAGGATTAGTTATTACGTATCGCAAACTTTCACAAACACTTCAAAATAGAGAATGCTGAATCATCCGATGGAATTGATACGCGATTAGATCTATCCATGAACTCTAATTTGAGATTGCCTATGAAGTTTTTAGCAACTAAAAGTTACAGTTCAGTGCATTCCATAACCTATACCAACTTTATTTTCCAGAACCATTACTGTATGAAGATATTTGACTATCCTTAATGACAGTAATTTATTGCTGCCTACGCATGATTTGAGTTCAATACTCGGGTTTTTAATCACTAAGGAAGATAACAACGAACACAAATTATAACTTACCATGCACAATTGACCGTTGTCCTTTCTCGCATGTAACAGGGAAGGAGTAAATTAGGCCTTTCTGAATTCCATAAGAACCATCAGAGTACACTCCCATTGAAACCCATGTCCCCTGGATGACAGCAAAGAAATATTAAATTTGTATAGATTATATGAAGAAACAAAAATGCCACTAGCTTTGAAAGAAAATAATATTGATAAAGATAACAAGAAACCTTAGGAGTCCCAAGAACCCAATCACGTATGTGATCACAAGCGGAACTTGCAGCAGATAATGCACTTGATAGCTTCCGAGCCTTAATAATGGCTGCACCGCGCTGCTGCACAGTGGTGATGAACTCGGTATTTAACCTACAGAACAACCAATAACAGCATATTAGCAACAAATTAGTAAGTTCGATGAGTTGGAAGATCGGAGAATTTGTACCTCCATGGTTGAACAAATATACATCATTTCATGGAGTTGACCCTTATTAAAAAAATTAGCGGCACCAGTGACAAGAACTCGAACTGGGTTTTTGGCCATTGTTGCAAAAAGTAGTTCTGGATCGAGAAAATGGGTGCAATTAGGAGTGAGGATGAGTGAGAAAAATGGCGGTGAGGACTGAGGAGGTTGTTCAAAATAATAGGAGTACCGTGGTTTTATAAATGAGAAGGAGATGAGGAGGTAAAGATTACAATGACGAGAATCGAGGATATAGATAATCAGATAACCGTGATGATAGGAGATGAGAGTGAGACTGTCAACTTACATAGTTACGCAACAGAAATAGAAATTGTCGCCATGCAAACACTAGTAGGACGTCCACTTGTAACAATCTCATCTCAGCGACTGCGTCACTGTGGTAATTTGTTTGGCTTTGTTTTATTTTTTATTTTTTGAAAATAGAAACAAAAAGTTTTAAAACTCTAGCTACTCTATTTAGAAGTACGAATTTAGTTTATTTGGAAGCTATTTGGTACCATTTGTTTTAGTTTTTAGCTTTCTCATTGGTTTAGAGATGGAGAAAAAATATATAAACAAACAAACGTGAAATAAGTAGGGGTTGTGTTGTTGCCCTCGTTAGAGAAAAAGTTTCAATTGTTTATGATAGGGTGCAAGATCGAACATTTCTGAAAAATTAAATGGAAGTTGGAATGCATGTAGAGATTTCAAATCCAATCTAAATTTTACATCTTTTTAAATTTGATCTCACAAAAGGAAAATTTTGAGTCCGTCATTGGGTGAAGGAGGGTGGTGGAGCAGAGGACGAAGAGATGAAGAAGAATTTATTAAGTGTATAAAGTGAAAACAATATAAAACTGGAGGAGAAACCCACCAACTACACCGCCCAAGAAGTAGGAGGCAGGGAGAGGTAGGCCTCTGATGAATGAGATGGAGCATTGGAGGCTCCAATCAGATATGATTGTGGTGGAGGAGTTGAATTCCAGGACCAATCAGAGTCGGCCAGGTCACAGTGTTGGAGCTTGTGGTGCATGAGGTGGTGGTGGAGCAGTGCCATGTAGGGATTGCATATGTGTCGACACTGATGAAGGTTTGTTGGCCATCAAAGAGTGATGCCAAAGAGACAGGAATGCCTTGGAGGAATTGTTTCCACCCAAACTTGGATGATTTTGCACAATTATTTGAGCTAGGGAATTGAGGAGATTGGTCCTCAGAGTTTCTGGGTCTTCCATGTTTGGATTGAGGCCTAAAGGGGTTGGATCAGCCACTACATGTAATTGCTAGCTAGAGCATCTTCGACAGAACAAACAAAATGAATTTAATAGATTAATCATCCACGAGTCAAATTTAATTTAATTATATGGAACCAGACAAAATGAATTTGTAGTTAACTTCTTGCATATGTTTCCTCATAGACACAAGGCATGCACTTTCACTTAATTTCACAAAAATATTCAAGTAAAGGGCTGGTTTCGGTTTGAGACCCGAACCAAAAACCAACCCGAATCCTGATCTCGAAAATGTCGGCTCGTATTTTACGTCCCGACCCCGAACCAAAACTTTTAGAATCCCAAAATGTGTTTTGGGCCGGGTCAGGAACTAAATGAGGTTTTTTTTTGCCGATCAGCTGTGGGGTTGAAGCCATAATTCCAATAGATGCCCCAAATACATAACCCAAAATCAAAAAGCCTAATTCAAAAATTTAAGAACCCTAATTTCAAAAATGAGGAATTAAACGCAATTACACAAGGGAAAACATCAATCATACCCTTATTTCAACTAGAATTGAAATGAACGATTGGACCCGTCAGGGTTTCCAATCTGGTTGTGGAGTTGAAGAGGTCATGGCCTTACAAGGGGTTTCGAAGATGGAGGACATGGAGTGAGAGGGAGAGAGGGAAGTCAAGAATGGATTTAAATTCATCCAACGGCTGTCATATTCTCAAACATGAATAAGAAATAAGGGGCATAAATGTAATTTCACACAACCAAATTTTTTTTTTTTGTTTTTTTTCCAAAGCCTCACCTACATGTAATTCTAACATATCTTTAATTAAAAAAAATAAAAAAATCAAAAAAACTTCTCACTCCCACATTCTCTATCACTCTCTTCCTCTTCCCTTCTATTTCAAAAACAAAAATAAAAAAAATTTCTTACACACTTTGTGTGTGCCTATATATATAAATTAAAGTCGATTCAGTTTGGGATTATTGAACTAAACAAAACGTTTCGGGGCCCGAAACATGACATAGAGGCAAAATTATCATACAAAAGAAATATGGAGTATAAATTTTGATTTTGAGTTAAAGAGTTACAAGGTTATGAGATTGGGGTCGTGGCCTGGTGCTTCAGGCCCTGCCGAGTTGAAATCCAGGTCGTGGCCTGGTGTTGTGTCCATAGTGATGGTGCGGTGGTATGCCGCACCATATCCCATTCCCATATAGTTTTCAAAATCCCTTAGGGTTTAGGAAACTCTAAATATGCTTCTAATTTATTTTATATATTTTGACTCACAAATTCCACATAACAATTTAATTGTGCGATGCATGAAACAAATATATATATTGACAAATATATGAATATATACAATATATATATATATATCGAAAGGAAAATATAAACATAGAGGGGTTTATGCATCGTGGGGAATGTTTTCATGCTTCGTGGACATTTCAAATATCTTCTTTTATTTTAAGCGTACTTGATTAGTAGAAAACGAATAAGCCTTTGAATTTGGTGGATGATAGCCTCCTCCAACGATGCTTCAATTCCTCAACTTCTGGCAAGAGTGTGCTGCTAACGTGTTGTAGGCTTATTTGATTGAACGATCTAGGGTTTAGAGAGAGAGAGGGGTTCGACAATATTGAGAGAGAATAGAGATTGATTTAATTGTAAGGTGTGTTTGATTCACCCCATTGTGCCTTTATTTATAGTAGTAGGATAGGTAAAACCTTTCCCTTTAGGATTACAACATTTAATAGGTAATCTACTTCTAATAGGAATATAAGATACATTCCCATATTCTCTAGGATTTACACAATCACATTCCTATTCTAAATATGACTGCAACACTAAATATGTCAATAAATACTATTACTACTCACCTTCAATTATACTAGCAATGAGCAATGAGCTCCTGTTTTAAAACCACATATTACAAACTATTTACCTATATTTTAAAAATTCACTAATTTACAAAGAAACTAATTGACGTACATTCTTTTGATACAAACTATTTAACTATATTTAAAAAAAAAATCACTAATTTACCTACATTCTTTTGTTACAAGCTAATTTATCTGCATTTTTGTCGTACATACTGTAGATATCGAAATTTCAGTAAAACAAATGTTCACCAATGCATTAAAGTTTTGACGTGTCAAGGCATACATGGCATACGCCACGTGTTGTACAAATTGTACACATGGCGTGTGACTCAACAAAATAGGAAGAAATACCCTTGAAGGATTAAACAAGTTTTTCTTCTCATTTTGGGCAATGACAAGGCAAGTACATTTCAATCCATTGAGGATCAAAACAAGTTTTTCTTCTCATGTTGGGCAATGACAAGGCAAGCACACTTCAATCCATTACGGATCAAAGCAAGTTTTTCTCATTTGGGCAATGACAAAGCATACACATTTCAAGTTTAAAATGGTGTTAAGTGGGAAATTAGGCCATAAGTTATACACATTTCAAGTTTAAAATGGTGTTAAGTGGGAAATTAGGCCATAAGTTATACACATTTCAAGTTTAAAATGGTGTTAAGTGGGAAATAAGGCCATAAGTTAGACCACTTCAAGTTTAAAATGGTATTAAGTGGGAAATTAGGTCATAAGTTACACCACTTCAATTTCAATATTGCATTAAGTGGGAAAATTAGGCAATGGTGCTTGGAAAGAAAAAAATATTTTTGTGGTGGTGATTCATTCTCAAAGCCTATAAATAGGCTTCTCCATCAAGGTATCAAGCATCAAGGAATTCACAAATACATTTCTCTACTCCAAAATTAGAAGAGGAATTCCCCAAATCCTTGAAGCTTTGAAACTCCAAAGCTTCCAACCATCCAAATTCCCAAGAATTCCGAAGGATCAAGAAAGCTCTCTTCGTTCTTCGTTAAATCCTCTTTCAAGATCAAGCCCCGACGGCCCTTGAAGAAAGTGTTCATCCGTTCATCCTAAGCTCAAGCCCCAACGGCCCTTTGGATCAACAGCACAAACAAATCCACACATCCAATCGTTCTTCAAGATTAAGCCCAAAAGCCCTTGAAGATCCGCTCATCCATCAACCTTCAAGATCAAGCCCAAAAGCCCTTGAAGAAATCCACACAACCATTATTCAAGATCAAGCCCCAACGGCCCTTGAAGAAAGCGTTCATCATTCATCATCCGTTCATCCTAAGATCAAGCCCCAACAGCCCTTTGGATCAACGACCTCAACAAACCCATACACCCATTCTTCAAGATCAAGCCCAACGCCCCTTGAAGATCCATTCATCAACTGTTCATCCTTAGATCAAGCCCCGACGGCCCCTTGGATCAACAAACAAATCCACACATCTATTCTTCAAGATCAAGCCCAAAAGCCCTTGAAGAAAACCAACTGTTCATTCAAGATCAAGCCTCGACGGCCCTTGAAGAAAACCAACCGTTCTTCAAGATCAAGCCCAAAAGCCCTTGAAGATCCGCTCATCCATCAACATTCAAGATCAAGCCCTGAAGGCCCTTGAAGAAACTTCCATCAACCTTCAAGATCAAAGCCACGAAGGCCCTTGAAGAAACTTACAACCGTTCATCCAAGATCAAGCCTCGACGACCCTTGGATCAACAAATCTACATCTTACGGAGATCGAATCAGAGGACCAAATTTGAGAGACCAAATTAAGCACCAAAATATTATTTTGTACACGTTATTCTTGTTTCTTGTTTCAAGGAACTTTCGTGTTCACAAATTTGGCACGCCCAGTGGGACATCTCTACCTCTCATCTCTATCCTCAAATCATCGAAAAATGCAAATGGCATCAAGAAAGGATCAAGCTGTTCCTGCAATCAAAGCAAAGAACAAGAACATCATCGCCAC